AAAACTAGTTAAAATCAAGTAGATCTATAAACATATGAAAATCTTGAAAACGAACGGTCTAGGTAAGGTGTTGCAAGATGAACTATTTATGAGACTCAAAATCTTTTTTTTTCTAGATGATCAATTAAAGGGTTTTTTTAACATTAAAACAACCTTTCTTGATGGAATTTAAGGTGCATCTATAATTCTACATTTTAGGGTTGCACCTTATATAAATTTTTTCCATAAAACGATGTCAAAAAGTAGTGCATCTTTTGTGACGGTATCAAATCTACATCATTCAAACGAAACAAAAAATAGATAATATAATTAGTACAATCTTATAAGTAATCTTACAAACCTTAAATGCGCGTTTTCCAATTTATTTATTGAATAAAGTCCAAAGGCCATATAATTATTTACCAAATCCGAAAGGCCATTATTGTGTACCTTCTTCGGACCATGGTCACTTTGGCTCAACAGCAACAACAATAATGATAAAATAAATAAATGAAACTTAAAACGTTTTATTACTATCACGTAAGTTGCAATGCATATTTTTTTTCTTCTTTCTTTTTTAAAAGGTATTCAAAGAGACCATCTACTTTTAAAACAAGAAGATCACAATCACTCTTGACCTTTAAATTTCAAATTGTGTGGTTGTAAGCAATATTATTGATTAGACTCCTCAAAGTTCAAAAAGAATATTTCAAACTTCATAACACACCCAAGCCATCAAATATGGAGTTAATGGCTAGGAGTAATTGTGACCTCCTTGTAAGAAAGATAAATGGTGTCCTAGTATAGAATTCCGTTTCTTCTTTTGAAAAAAAATTGGTCAAGTCGTTCAAGCCAACCTACGGATTCAACACAACAGTCAGATTTTTTAAATGCAATTTCTGCACACAACGCCTGAAAGAGAGAGAGATGCTTGGGGCAAAATTGGAAGACTACGGCTGGAAATGGGCCCGGTTTGGCCCTAACCCAATCTTGATTGGGCGAAAGGGGTCTTGGCCCAGGCCCAACCTACAAAGAGAACAAATAAATAAAAGGGGCCCTTTGGCCTTGGCCCAACACAGCCCAGCCCGGCCCGCCCCTTCCCTCGGGCCGTGGTTGCGTGGCCCCGAGTGGGCCCTCAAGCCATATTTTGTGAGGGGTCTTTTAGGGTCGGTTGATCAGGTCGGGCCGGGCCGGGCCAGCGGACCCTAAAAAACTGTATGAAGAGATATGAAAGACAAGACGGAAAATTTTCACTTACGAGACGACGCAAAATAAAGAAAAACTTTAGAGAGAGAGAGAAGCAAAGAATTGGCAGATATATTTCATGAGTCATGACCGTGAGAAGCCAAAAAGGAGCCTAGAAAGACATTTTTGGGCGTATAAAAAGGCCCCCATCGAACGGGAAAAAAAGATCTCCACGGTGGTAAAAAGGAAGGTCTCAAGCGTTCTCAGCCACTAGATATTCAAGCCTCAGGTACTCTATGGGAAATCCGACGAGCCAATAGGAACGCTCCCTTCTGCATCGCAAGGGGACTGAAATCCGAGCTCACCCGGATAAACCCCCTTTCTCTCTCTAAACATTTTCTTTCTCTCTGGGCTCACTAGGTCCACGTCTCTATGTCTACGTGGGCCAATGGGCGAGCCCACCAAACTAGAGGCTCCCATCCACTCATTCACCAGAAGGCCAACCGCCCGCACGCACTTAAATTGTGTTCCCCTGCTCATTCTCTCACTGCAACAGAAGATAGAACCTCCCCTCTCTCTCTCTCTCTCTCTCTTCGATGAACTACCTCACTTGTTTTTTGCTGACACTATAGTTGCCGTAGGTTTTGTGGGAATCTGTCTAGTAGAGAGGACTTTCATGGCATCAGTGACATCTTTGGGATTGCCGGTTTCCAAGGTTGATTATCTCCACAACCGTGCCCGCCCTTCGTCTCTCTCCTACCTTCTTCGGAGTGCCGCTTCTCTTAGCTCACAATTGGATGGAATCAGACTACCCAATTCATTTCCGGAAAGAAAGGTGAGACAAAAGCTAGAGAGAGATAATGCAAGCTAATGGGCATTGGCAATCTATACTCGAGTCAATTTTTTTAGAATTTGGAATTGCTTGTGATGTTTGTTAGCACTTGGTAGTAATCCATTGGTGGTTGATATTTGTTAAGAGTTCAGATTCACCCAAGTCACTCGTCAGCGACTGGTAGCCAAGTAGAGTTCACATGTCCTCACTTTGAGTACTTATGCAAACCTTGCCAATATCGTCATCATCTTCATAGTTTTTTTCTAATCTCTAATTAATTACAGTCGGCTTGTTTGCATTTTGCTCAAAGACCTTACCCCTCAACCGAATACTATAGAACTCAAGAAGCGAATATTTTGGAGTTTGAATTTAGCCAAGGAAACAAAGAGTGTATTGAGAATGAGCTTACACATATTAGGGAAAAAGGAAGGACAATGAGTGTTTTTGGTTCGATGTATTGTTCTTGCTGCTCTAAATACCAATAAGTAGCCACATATATTTTGGTATACATTACATAGACAAGAACATACCTGCATATCATTTTGAATTTGCTTACTTATTTTGTGCTAAGAATCTTAAACCCTTCAAATTAGGAACTAAAGCCAAAATGATTACGCAGAATACATTTTGATGTTTGATGAGAACCCATGTTCCTAATTCTCACTTTTGGAACCCCTTAATTGATTGTAAATTCCAAAAGCCTTTTATATTAGGAGGCCACAAGATGTCATAATTACTAACGTGGGCAATTAGATGTCAAATTATATGGTTTTAGGTGCGTCATAAAATTCGTTTTTTCTTTCAGTCCAGTTAATAACACACTCAGGGCCACCTAATTTGAAATCAGACAACAAAAGTGATTGTCACCACCTTGTATTAGAAGTAAATGATGTCTTTGTATACTTTTCCTCAATAAGGACTCTCAAGTCCCACTCTAAATTTCAAAAATCTCTTAACTTTTAATCGAATCTCAAACTCCTCTCTCTCTCTCTCTCTCAACCTGGAACTCTCATATCATATAGCTATGACAGGCGGGAAGAAGGGCAAGCACTTCAAAGGTGACATGTGCAGTGGTTGGCAACGGCCTCTTCACTCAAACCACACCCGAGGTGAGGCGAATAATTCCCGACTCATCTCGGAACCCCTCAACCCCAAAGGTGAAGATCGTGTACGTGGTACTCGAGGCCCAATACCAATCAGCCCTGAGCCAAGCTGTTTGGTCTCTCAACAAGAAGAACGCAGGTGCTGCTTTTGAGGTTGTGGGTTACCTGGTAGAGGAGCTCAGAGATGAGAACACATACCGAACTTTTTGCCAAGACCTCTCTGATGCCAATATCTTCATTGGCTCCCTCATTTTTGTTGAGGAGCTTGCACAAAAGGTTGGTGATCTTGGTCTTAGCCTTAATTTCAATTCTTGTGGTGATATTAGGCTTAAGCTTCGCTTGAACTCTTGATCTGCGTTTTATTTGTGTTTTGAAAACGCTAATGGATTGACCGAGTGTTTTGTTTTGTAATTCACCGATGGTTTTTTTTTCCTGTGAAATATCAATAAAGTGGTCAAACGGGCTCAGATAATGAATGAAATTGTTAAATGAAGTAATTGACTGCTTTTTATTTTTATTTTTTCATTTAGGTACCTCCTCAACTATCTTGTTAAAATCCCGGAATTGCTTCCATTTCTTAATTAGAACTTTTAACAAGTGAGGGCATTTTTATAAGTCACATGTGGCAAATGACCCAAATACCTTTGCCTTTTTCCGGTTCCAAACTTGGAAAAAATATTTTGCATTAAAATAACTAATTTTCGGCGTGGAACCTGAGTGGAGCAAAGTTGTCAAAATCCCCCAACTTGATCCGGCTTCTAAAGCTGAAAGAAGATCCTTTTAATGAAAAGTTTATCCCCTCGAACACTAAATAGATAAAGGTATAAGTCATTTGACTTAAATGACCTGAGTGGACCAAATTTCAAAATACCTTTACACTAACATGGAAAACTCAATTATTTTTTAACAATAAGAAAAATTATATAAAAAGATCATTTATTTTAGTACAAGGAGACCATGATCACTCTTGTCCGTCAGATTTTAAATAAAGTGGTTGTAAGAATGTCATTGACCAAACTCAGTTTTTTTTTTTTTTCTCTTTTTTTTTTGAATTTCTTAATAAATCCCAAACCATCCAATTTGACACCTAAATGATTAAAACTAATTATGACCTACTTGTGACAAAGATAAACGGTCTCAATAGTATACAATCCGTAAAAATAAATGTTGATGAGGGGCATAAGTGAAAGCATAATAAACAAATAACTACTCTGTTGGTAAATTAGTTGATTTAATAACTCATTGATTTTTTCAAAATAGTTAAAACTATTTTATGATTTTTTTGTCCTTCACACGAAAATTGGGTGAGTATTCTAGTGGTGGCACTAATTATTTTGTTATCCACTCTTTTTCATTACCCTGTTTTCCTTTGGATTAACAAAACATGAGTGAGACTGAAATGTACTAGTGTATGGTACACCTTAGGCTACATTTGTTCTGATGGAGATTGACTTGGAGGAGGGCTAAAAAGGGAACTGTCCAAGCTGCAATCAATCTCCAACTATCCATTAGTTAGAGCAAAAGATGGATATGGTCTGGACTTTGGAGTACAATACACCATAATCCATTGGACCATAGTCATTTCCCTTTTCAATTCCAACTGGTACCCAGCCCGCGCAATGCTTGGCTGAGAAAGAGAGAATGTTTCAAATATCGCGTTTGATTGAAATTGAGTAAATAAGTGAGACAAGCGATTAAGGAGCGATTTCGTCTATTCTAAAATAAACATTATAAATATCACTTATTTTTATAATGTAAACATGAACGTAAAAAAAATTCTCATTATTAAAGATCTTCTCTTTTCTTATGCCTCTAAAGTCCTCTTCAAGTTACTTGAAGAAAGGATTGAAGGATTGTGATTTAATATAGATATCAATTAGGGAATGTCCAGTATACAATATACCTCCGGGATGTCCAGTACCAATCCAATATAGACATTTAGCACACTATGAGAGAGAGAGAGAGAGAGAGAGAGAGCTTTCTTGTGTGATAACATACTTCAACAAATTATAAGACTCGCAGTCCCTGCGTCGAGAGAGTTTGCTCTGATACCTTCTCGAACCAACAGGTGAAAACTGCTGTGGAGGCTGAGCGTGATCGGCTCGATGCGGTCCTTGTATTTCCCTCCATGCCCGAGGTGATGCGCCTAAACAAACTCGGGTCTTTCAGCATGTCCCAGCTTGGGCAATCAAAGAGCCCATTCTTCCAACTATTCAAGCAAAAGAAGCGAAGTGCCGGTTTTGCAGACAGCATGCTTAAGCTTGTACGCACTCTCCCAAAGGTCCTTAAATACCTTCCCAGCGATAAGGCCCAAGATGCCCGCCTTTACATCCTAAGCCTCCAATATTGGCTTGGAGGCTCTCCTGATAACCTTGAAAACTTCCTAAAAATGGTTTCGGGGTCCTATGTTCCAGCTTTGAAGAGTGTAAAGATGGACTATGCTGAACCCGTGGTGTACCTAGACAGTGGGATATGGCACCCTCTAGCCCCTTGCATGTACTCTGATGTGAAGGAGTACATGAATTGGTATTGCACAAGGAAAGACATAGGAGAGAGGATCAAGAGTCAAGATACTCCAGTTATTGGGCTAGTGTTACAAAGGAGCCATATAGTCACTGGCGATGAAGGCCATTATGTAGCAGTTATAATGGAGCTTGAGGCGAAGGGAGCTAAAGTGGTGCCTATTTTTGCAGGGGGTCTGGACTTTTCGGGACCAATAGAGAGGTATTTTAGAGAAGGAGTGAGCAAGAAGCCTCTTGTTCATGCAGTGGTTTCGTTGACAGGGTTTGCGTTGGTTGGAGGACCTGCAAGGCAGGACCACCCTAGGGCAGTGGAGGCTTTGAGGAAGCTTGATGTGCCCTATATTGTGGCTTTGCCTTTAGTTTTCCAGACCACTGATGAGTGGCTTGCGAGTACGTTAGGTTTGCACCCGATTCAGGTGGCTTTGCAGGTGGCCTTGCCGGAGCTTGATGGAGGGCTTGAGCCCATTGTCTTCTCTGGACGAGATGCAAGGACAGGCAAGCCCATTAACTACCGCTCTTTTCTTTTCTGTCTAAAATTCAGGCTGGAGACTCTCGTGTTGAGGTACTCATGCCCCAATTAGAGCCAAAGTCTCTCTCTCTCTCTCTCTCATATTGGAGCTTTATGATTGCAGGCAAGTCCCATGCGCTTCACAAACGAGTTGAGCAGCTCTGCACCAGGGCCATCCGATGGGCTGAACTCAAGCGAAAGGCTAAGGTAATCAATTGCGGTCCTCACTTGTCTCATTGAAACACTCAGATCTTGTCTGATTATGGCCTAAACTGACCATATCGTTGTGTACAGGAGAAGAAGAGGTTGGCCATCACAGTCTTCAGCTTCCCACCAGACAAGGGCAATGTGGGAACCGCTGCCTACCTGAATGTCTTCGCCTCCATATTCAGTGTCCTCAGAGACCTAAAGCATGATGGGTACTGTGTCGATGGCCTCCCTGAAACTGCTGAGGCCCTAATCGAGGACATAATCCATGACAAAGAGGCCAAATTCAGCAGCCCCAACCTCAACATTGCATACAAAATGACAACACGTGAGTATCAACAGCTCACCCCGTACTCCAAAGCTCTTGAAGACAGTTGGGGCAAGCCACCGGGTAACCTTAACTCAGATGGTGAGCACCTCCTTGTATACGGAAAACAATATGGAAATGTGTTTATTGGTGTTCAGCCAACGTTTGGATACGAGGGCGATCCTATGCGCCTCCTCTTCTCGAAGTCAGCTAGCCCTCACCATGGCTTTGCTGCCTACTATTCATTTGTCGAGAAGGTCTTCAAGGCCGATGCAGTGCTTCACTTTGGCACCCACGGCTCGCTCGAGTTCATGCCGGGCAAGCAAGTGGGCATGAGTGATGCATGCTACCCTGATAGCCTGATAGGCAACATACCAAACATCTATTACTATGCGGCCAATAACCCCTCTGAAGCCACAGTGGCCAAGAGACGAAGCTATGCTAACACTATCAGTTATCTAACTCCTCCTGCCGAGAATGCAGGGCTCTACAAGGGGCTCAAGGAGCTCGCAGAGCTCATTTCGTCATACCAATCACTTCGAGACTCAGGACGAGGGCCTCAGATAGTGAGTAGTATCATAAGCACAGCAAGAAGGTGCAACCTCGACAAGGATGTGGAGTTACCAGAGGAGGGGGTCGAGCTAACTAAGGAGCAACGTGACCTAACGGTTGGTCGGGTGTATAACAAAATCATGGAGATTGAGTCAAGGTTGTTGCCTTGTGGCCTGCATGTCATTGGAGAGCCCCCTACAGCTATGGAGGCAGTGGCCACTTTGGTGAACATTGCAGCCTTGGATAGACCTGAAGATGGGATATGCAGCCTCAACTCTATATTGGCCGAGACTGTAGGACGAGAAATGGAGGACATTTATAGGGGAAGTGACCATGGTGTATTGCAAGACGTGGAGTTGCTAAGGCAGATCACAGACGCATCTAGGGGAGCCATCTCAGCTTTTGTTGACCGAACCGCCAATAAGAAAGGCCAAGTGGTTGATGTGGCTGGGAAGCTCGGTTCCATACTTGGGTTTGGGATGATGGAGCCATGGATCCAATACCTATCGCAAACCCGGTTTTGGGCTGCTGACAGAGAGAAGTTGCGCACATTGTTCGGTTATTTGGGCGAGTGTCTGAAGCTTATTGTGGCTGATAACGAGCTTGGAAGCTTCAAACAAGCCCTAGAGGGGAGTTATGTGCTGCCAGGGCCTGGAGGTGACCCAATAAGAAACCCTAAGGTTCTGCCCACTGGTAAGAACATACATGCACTTGATCCACAAGCCATTCCGACTGTTGCCGCTATGCAAAGTGCAAAAGTAGTGGTCGATAGGTTACTTGAGAGGCAAAAGGTGGACAATGAGGGAAGATACCCTGAGACAGTTGCCTTGGTGCTATGGGGAACTGATAATATCAAGACCTATGGGGAGTCACTAGCCCAAGTGCTATGGATGATTGGGGTGAGGCCTGTGGCTGATACATTTGGGCGGGTGAACAAGGTGGAACCTGTTAGCCTTGAGGAGCTTGGTCGCCCTCGTATTGATGTTGTTGTGAATTGCTCTGGTGTCTTCCGAGACCTCTTCATCAACCAGGTATACACATACTTATGCAGCTTCAAAACTTTGACATTTGAAAAATGTAATTTCACTCGATAGTTGGCCTAATCTTGAGCTGAGTGGACTCAAGATGCTCTGTATAATACCCGTTAGGACTGTAGGACAAAACAGAAATTTCTTTTAAAAAAAAGGAATAATCTCAGGGACTGCTGAAACACCATAGTGTGTTTTGTCATCACTGTCCAATCTACAGATGGAACTGGACATTGTGGAGGGACAGCTGCACCCACCATTGACCACTTTCTCTCCACCACTGGCCATCCATTGATTGGACGGTGTTACCCAACTATTGTGTTTTAACTGTCCCTGAATGGTAGAAACTTTGCCTTCTATAAAAACTATAGAAAAATTAGTAAAAATTTGGTCGATTTCTAAAATTTGGCTCATGTTATGTCGAGTTAACTTGAACAAGTCCCGAGTCTTAATTCCTAGTTTATAAACAGTGATTTGAACCTGGTTCTAAAGTCCTTGCCTTCCCTTTTTGGGATGTGCAGATGAATTTGTTGGACCGAGCAGTAAAGATGGTTGCAGAGTTCGATGAACCTGAGGAGATGAACTACGTGCGCAAGCACGCCCTCCAACAGGCAGCTGAGCTCGGCGTCGATGTCCGAGAGGCGGCCACTCGTGTCTTCTCAAATGCCTCAGGCTCCTACTCCTCAAACATAAACCTTGCAGTAGAGAATTCATCATGGAATGATGAGAAGCAACTTCAGGACATGTATTTGACCCGGAAATCCTTCGCTTTTGATTGTGATGCACCAGGGGCTGGCATGCTTGAGAAGAGGAAAGTGTTCGAGATGGCCCTTGGAACTGCCGAGGCCACCTTCCAAAATCTCGACTCCTCTGAAATCTCACTCACTGATGTGAGTCATTACTTCGATTCTGATCCCACCAACCTGGTTCAATCCCTGCGTAAAGATGGTCGGAAGCCAAATGCTTATATTGCTGATACCACCACTGCTAATGCACAAGTTCGAACCTTATCAGAGACTGTGAGACTTGATGCTCGCACAAAGTTATTGAACCCTAAGTGGTATGAAGGCATGTTATCGAGTGGTTATGAAGGGGTTAGAGAGATAGAGAAGAGGCTAACCAATACAGTTGGGTGGAGCGCCACATCTGGACAGGTGGACAACTGGGTTTATGAGGAGGCAAACTCCACGTTTATTCAAGATGAGGAGATGCTCAAGAGATTGATGGATACCAATCCGAACTCATTTAGGAAGCTGGTGCAAACATTCTTGGAGGCCAATGGAAGAGGTTACTGGGAAACCTCGCAGGACAACCTTGACAGGCTCAGGCAGCTCTACTCTGATGTAGAGGACAAGATTGAAGGAATTGACAGAATTTAATCTCTCTCTCTCTCTCTCTCTCTCAGAGGCAGCTCTACTCTGATATTAGAGAACAAGATCCAAGGTCTTGACAGATCTTAACTCTCTCGCTCTCTCTCTGAAATTTGGGACAATCATTTGTGAATTTTGTCATAAACATCATCATTTATCTTCTAATTTTGATTCATATGTACCTAAGTGGGATGGAATAAATAATCCACTCTTCTTTTGATTGAGTCTGTTTTGTCTTCAGGCAGGGAAATCTATGAACACCGCCATATTAAGAAGATATGGCCATCTTCATTTAGAAGCATACTCCATATGGGTGAAACCACTGATGTAAAAGATATAATTAAGGCTGCTTTACCAAAGCAGGAGTTGATTTCTGACAAATGACAGGAAACCTTACTTTAGGCATCTACACCTGATCCAAAAGATTCTACACTCAAGAGCACACTAAAATCAAAGGCCTATGATTTGTGAGGCCAATGCATGCCGTGTATGTTAACATTCTTGTATGAAACAAAAGTTGTGTCAAAATCTAGAAAAGATTGGAAACTTAAGAATAAGGGGTCTGAGACCAAAATACAGGCTCGATTGCCCAGGATGCATTAAAAGATTGAAGGGTGCAAGTCACTGTCCTTGCGAAAGGATGGATCCAAGGAAACAACAAAATACCCAGCAAGAGGAAACCAATCATTCGTTTCAGAAACCCCTAAAACCAGTGTTTAAATAAACGCCGAGTCGACTCGGGAATCGCCATGGGGGGGGGGGGGAATCGGTTAAAAAAACGAGAATCGTCCGGTTTTAGAGAGAACCGGATGATTTTGCACAGTGACTCGCCGATTCACTGTACGGAATCGGCGAGTCTGTGAAGAACATGGGTTGCACAGTATTCTTCACGGGATTCTTTGAAATTTGTCATTTTTTTGATCATTTTTCTTATTTTTTTTGGCATGTGATCTAATTTGCAGGCTGTAAACAGCTTTATTAAGCTTTTACACGGATTAAATGGTTGAAAAATTTAGTGTTTTTGGATCACAAAACTTGCATTTTTAGGGTTTCCACCTTTCCTTGTGTTTCATGACAAATAGGGCATGAATCTTTCAAAATTTGTAGGCATTTTGATCGTAAAGTTGTGCATCAAAACCTTTTGTTACTAATTTGTGATAATCGTTGAGAAAAACAGAGTTTTTTGGAGATTGAAGGCTTCGGTTCACAAAATCAGGTAAGAAGTTTGGGTTTTTTTTTTTTCCGCCATATGATTTATTTCACGACATATTGTGAAGATAATGAGTTCAATTTGTAGGGTTTTTAATCTTTATTGTGTCTATTATGATTTAAAATTTTCAATACAACATGAAATTTGAGATAAACACATAGATGTCTGCGGAACCAAAATTCTGCTGTTTTTTTTTTTTTTTTCCGCATTTTGATTTTTTTTTTCATGATATATTAGAAATAATGTGTTAAAAAATTTAGGGTTTTGATTCCTTATATTGTTGTTTATCAGAAAATGTACTCAATTGGATGTAATTTATTCACTTAGAGGTGGATTTTTTAGTTAAAATGGCTTATGTAAAATGGCTCTGTGAAGAACTAAATTTTTTTTTTTTTTTTTGTTGTTGTTGTAATCCATGATCGAATGTTTTGTAATACTTGATCGATTTTTTTCTAATCCATGATCGAATTGTTTTTTTTTTTTTTGTAATCCATGATCGAATTTTTTTTTTTTGTAACCCATGATAGAATTTTTTGTAATCCATGATCGAATTTTTGTAATCCATGATCGAAATGTTTG